ATAGGGAACAGGTCCACGGTAATAAAAACAAGCTATTTGATGCCCTGAAACAAGCCTGGAATGGAATAAATGACACACATATTAATAATTTAATTTCATCTATGCCTAAAAGATGTGCTGCAATCATTAAAAATAATGGCTACCCAATAAAATATTAATTTAAAACGAATTTATTTTCATATTGGGCTAAAGTCCAATAATTCTAATGCATCTATGTAAAAAGTTATGACAGAATATGCCTGAGACTCGATTTAGTCCAATGAGTTTTGTCCGACACTGTATATAAAAAGTACGTGTCAGGTTGTTTGTCAGCGATGCACTCACTAAACTACTGAACCGATATAGTAAAATTTAGCACACTCCAGTTCGGACCAACTTAGAAGATAGGATAGTAAAAACAATTCATAAAGAAATATTACATTAAAAGCTGCATTTAATGGACGCTCTATTAAGCGGACATCTCCATTAACTTATTGACCGGTCCCACAATTTGTTGATATTCATAAGTACAATCTATTAAAGGGACAACTCTAATAACTGGACAGAAAAGCTGGTTCATCAGTGTCTGTTTATGGGAGATTTCAGTATAAATGAAATGTTCACTGTATTGAATAGTTTATTATATGAATAATAGTATAAAATGTATCCCACAGCAACCCGTGGCCGGATCCCCTAGTATATAAATGTAATGTAATGATTATCACAAATAAAAAAAACCTTTTAAATTTTTGATTATCATTGACAAAACGTAATTTTTTTTAATGCCCTTAAAGTATAACATAGCATTTATATTCTCTGTATATTTTAATGGACTAAATCTGCCAAATACTGTTCGAATTATTTGGTAATAAGCAAAGGGTTCTCGGGGGCGCAGGAACATTTGAGAGCAGTTATTACTAACATTTGACTATCGTATTAATGTGTGCTTGCGTGCATTTGAAAGCAATAATGTTTTTAAATTAAACTGCTAATTTCAGTTAATTTCGGGATGATTTCAAAATTTTTTAAATATTTTTAATTTCAGTTTCAATTGATTAATATATAAATATTATTATAATTAATAATACATATGTTTTGCTTTTATTTGTTATGCAGATATAACTGGATAGCAGGTTTGTACAACACCGTTATGCATATTATAGGCTGCCAATTTCACCTAAATGCAAAGGAACTGCGAGGTTTTATTTTTCAGTAGCTAGCAAAAGTAGATACACGCAGTCGGTAATATTTTAACTATTGGTAAGTATGTATTTAAAACAATACTTACCTGTGATAAAAAAGCCGTGCTATTGCCATGCGCTGTTTTTCTCCCCCAGAGAGTATATCTTTCCAATCTCGTACGGCATTAAAACCATCACTATAAAATAAAATTAAATGTAGATGGAAGAAATATTATGTTATTCGATATATTTTACCGCTGTGCAATATGTTCTAAACAGACCATTTTTAAAATGCCTCTGAGCTGATTCTCTGTAAAACCTTTGCGTAACATATCTTCTCGACTGTCTGGGTAAATAATCTGGTCACAAAGACTTCCCGTTGACATATATGGACGTTGGGGGATGTAAAACATACATGGTTTATCCTCTACAGGACGAGGTATGTGCAGTTCACCAGCATAAATGGGCCACAGACCACTTAATATACGGAATAGACTGGACTTACCACAGCCATTGGGACCAGTAATAAGGAGATGCATTCCTTGCTCAATACAAAGAGTCAGACTTGACACGACAATATCACAATTAGGTGTGACTACAGGAATAGCTCGTAATGTGATGGTCATATCATTAGGCGTATCTGTGTAGATAATGCGGCCCTTGGCAATTGGCTTACCGTCTTTGAACTCAATAATGCCATTCATTTCATTGTTTTCAACGATCATATTTTTATGATAAACTCCTTGAGCAGTCTCTTCAAATACTTGCATCATTCCAGCAACACGATAAGTATACCCAGCCAATGCGACAATTTCTTTATATGATGACATCAGCCGCTCAATGGCATCGGCCGCAGATATAAGTAAATTTCGTGCAGTAGTTAGATATTGTGTTCGCTCACTAACGCTTGAGTTCAATACATCTCTAGATATTGGATCGTTGACATTTTTTTTCTGTAATGATGTGCCGGACATCAAAATCGGCAACGAAACCATTATCATTCCCGTCCCAGACCAGACGTACTTCATGAAAAACTGTTCTAGCATAACAAACCAAAGTTTTTGTATAAAAATGTTGTTCATTTGAGTAACTAAACGGTTATATGCTTGACGAAGTTGCTGCAATTCTACCTACAATGTTAGAATACCACAAATTATTCTACTTGTGAAATTGGAGTATTTAATAATAATAGCAAAGTTAGTTCTTAAATATATAACCAATTAAAGCAAATTTTACGAGGTCTTTGGAATACATTATTTAATATAGCGGTTGAGTGTCCATTTCACATATTTGGGAAGAAATAATTTCTTTTCATTGGTTCTTTTACAAACCATACAATCATTTCAAAATATGAATAAATACAATGAGTAAACAGTATATGTATGTACCTAATATTCGCTCAACAAATTTCAAGCAAATTTGACAAGTACTTTTCGAGTTATTGGATAATTTGCAGAGGGTTCTCAAGGGCCTTGAAATGTACGAGAAGAGGTACAAGGTTTGTCCGGAAAGTAATAGGACTGAGTCGATTGAAAAATATTCATTGAACCAAGCGTTACAATTCTTTAAAAAATTTCATAACAGGCTCCTTCTGCGTCGATGCAACTCTCTGGAATAGCCTCGAGAGCTGAGGTGCATGCTGTTTGGATCCCTTTGCCGTCTTAACGGCAGGAAACAATTAAATCTCTCCAAAAAGACCTGGTGCCACCGAAACACACCACGTCTTGCTAAGGCATCACTGCGTAAGACTGCGTCTCAATTGCAGATTTACCGAGTTTCACACAGAATTAATCGCGTACGTCTGTTCTAACGAACGCTGCATTTTCGGCTTGCACTACTCACAGAAACACGTAGCGCGAAAATGTTTGTCCTGACTCTCCAGGTGATCGGAGCTTCGTTAGCTTGGAACTCCCTCTTCTACCGAATGCAGTCGGTGCGCGAGTTAACCCTTTCAGTGGATTTGTCGAATATATTCGACATTGGATAAGCGCGCTTTTTTATGCCAAAAAAGTAACTGTAAACGTGCTCATAAGTTCTTGTTGTTAAATTAGTTAGTCAGGCAGAGAGCATTTTAGTGAACATAAGCTACATTCAGTTTTCTAACTTTTAGTTACTTAGTTAATTTGATCTGGTTATCAACCAGATTGTCCGATCGGCTATATTTCAACATAAATTTAGGTATTTAGAATTTTGTCAGAAGTGCTCGACAAAATTATATGTTAATCAATAGTGTTTAAATAATCGTTCTTATAAAAAAAAAAAACAAAGAAAAAGTAATTAGCGTATACCTATAATACCCAATATATTGTTGTCGAATATAATTGACATTGACCCGCAAAGTAAGTTTCCGAAAAAAAAAGAAAAAAATGTATATAAAAGTTTGGTTATTTATAAAATTCTTGCAAATTGTTCTGATATTGAAGATGGAAATGAGTGCCAGTGTGAAGATTTCATTTTTCAGAGAGATTATGACCATAAAACGTTTTTTCTATTAGAAATAATTTACAATTGCTTGATGTTATGGACAAAAAAGGGCAGAATAGAGATCGACTTTTTAAAGTTCAACCAATAATAAACACAGTGAGAAATTCCCACGACAGCCGGTTCTACGTTACCGGAATTGACTCGGATTTCATCGTAGCAAGGGCTGTTCTTTCGGCGATCTAACCCTGTTTTGATCGGTGAGTGTTAATCTGTGTGTGTCGTCACTGGAGCAACGCCTTGCAGCAGGGTTGCTCCGTATCTTCCTGACTCGTGCTGGCATTGAGTCCAACCCGGGCCCGGAGAATTCTTCTGCTGCGTTTGCGCGAAAAGGCTCCATCCAAACTCCACCTCGKTCAGRTGCAACACATGCAATGGATGGAGCCATCTTAAGACCTGCTCAGGCCTTAAGACCCATAGGGAGTGGACCACACGTTACGTGGTCCCTTGTTGCCTACGCAATACTGCGACGCTAGCCTCTACGGCTGTGCACCCAGCACATAGTGCGCGCGCTGCGCCGCCACCCACCCCGAGTGGCCAACAGAGGACCTCCACGGTCCCCCGGAGCTCAACTAGGCAACATAGCTCCCAATCTGACTTGTCCCCCCCAACCTTCATCCCGCTCCAATCCGCGTGCGAGAACCATTCAGCAACTCTTGGTTCCTCGCACGGTCTGTTCCGTGTGTCAGACCGCCATACGTCGGAACGTCACATCAGTAAAGTGCAACTCTTGTGCTGGCTGGTGTCACTTCCCGGCGTGTTCTGCCCTGCGCATCGCACGTGAGTGGAGTGAGTCGTACGTTGCCCCATGCTGCAGGAGTCTGCCCCCGCAACACACTACAGTGGCGTCGCCAACAAACACCGACAACCGCCCCGGCGGGTTCTGCAGCTGCAACAAATACCACCCACACGTCCCTCCCTCACCCCCAGGATCACCCACGGACACGGCTACTTCAATTTAACTGCAACGGACTCCAAAGCAAGATCGAGGAGATAGTTGCACTTATGAATCGGGAGCGCGTATCGATAACTGCGGTCCAAGAAACCAAACTAAACAGCCGCGCAGATATTATGAGTTGTGCAGGTTTCAACGTTATACGTAAAGATCGCGAGCGAGATAATGGTGGTGGCCTAGCCTTCATATTGCACAACACCGTGCAGTATCGTCTAATCGATGAAGACATCGACCGAAGGGACGCTACCCTGGAATGTCAGGTCATAGCTGTCCGGTCAGGCGATGTCGAGCTCGAAATATTTAATATATACATCCCCCCACTTACATGTTGCCCTACAGGATATCACCTGAATATAGGTGCGCTACTTCGTGGTGAAAACCGTTTGGTGCTAGGCGACTTTAACGCGCACCACGATCTTTGGCATTCCTGTCTGTCAAATGACCGTAGGGGGATGGAGCTGGCGAAACAGATTGACGATTCGACATTCTGCACAATGAATGACGAAGCCCCCACCAAAGTTATGGGCACTTGTAGTAGCTCGCCGGATATTACAATCGCTAGCGGTGGTCTGATAAATAGCATAACCTGGCGACCTAT